TTTTTTTATCCAGCTCTCAAAGGCGAATTGGTACAAGAGAGTGAGAAGCATACTAGTCTTGAATGCGCGCCAAAGATTATCTGCTCATCTTTTTAATTTTTCGCAATCTTCGCGCTAAGGGGCTCACAATTTGTGGGGGCACTGAGGTGCATAACACAATCAAGTTCGATTTCTATCATCATTTAAGTCAACTAACTATGACTTCACAAAGACTGGTTTGAAAGCAGTGAGAAAATTTAGAGGCAAAGATCTGAAGATATTAGTGACGTACTTTCTGACCATCAAGTCGAACAGGGCGCTCCTTACACACCTCAAACATACGACATAACCATTTAAACTTGCTGCGACGATTTGCAATTCCATCATATCCACTTACCAAAAAGGCTAGCTCATCGAGCATAGCTGCAAGATGCCCATAGTCTTTTATAGATGTATTAAGTTTCTTAGAGAAAGCAACTGGTATCACCTCACGTTGCAAATCCAGAAAAAAATCTCATATTTCATTTGATTTATCTGTTCATAAAACTGTGATACACAAGTATACAAAACTTAAAAGGAATCGGTGAACAACAAATTAATCAACAGATCGATGCTCCTAAAATATAAATCATCCAAGTGACGAAAAACAACTCAAATGCTACAAACGACAATGTACATAAAAGCGGCCGATGCCAACCAGATCCTATTTTGTTCCTTTCAGCCTGCTAACAATGTTTGCCTGATCATTCTCGGATACTATCCTGTAGTCATCAACTTGCACATGTAGTGTGGCCATGCCTGACGACAAGGTTCGCAACGTGGTTGGGAAACCTGCCATCTCTGATAATGGAAGACGAGCGGATATATATGTGGATCCCCCTAAATAGTAGTGATGATTCAGAGATATAGTTACTACAGCGAAGACTTACAGTGAGTTCCGCAGCACTCTAGAATGTCACCACGGCGACTAGAGAGCTCCTGCAAGATGGGCTGCGCTTCAGTGCCGCTTTCCAGACTTATATCGAGCCGCATGATCGGTTCAATCAGCCGTGCTCCTGCTGCTTCAATCGCCTCCGTGACGCATTTATGGGCGCAGGCGGACACTAAATCACTTCGATTAAGTATTGAGTCCCTGAAAGACTCTGATTTTATGTGCAATGGAGCAGGATTCAGATCGGAAATGATGATGCAGGCAAAGAAGGTCCAGCGCCTCCCATTCGATCAGCAAATGATAGGGTTCCTAAACCCGCATGAAAATGGGGCTGATTTGCAATTAAGTTCAGTGCTGAATTTAGAGCAAAAAATTGAGGTTCGTGATCGGCTAACGCAGTCTTTGAAGCCGATTTCCTGAGTCATGAGCAATTTCAACGGCCAATGATTTGCTCA